AAACATTTTACCAGGTCTCCATCATATATGTTTTGTTTCAGAATGTCTTTTAAAGAGACAGTTATGAGAATTCTGTCCTTATTTACTCACTCTCAAGTTGTTCCAAACCTGCATGAGATTCTTTCGTCTGCTGAGTATGAAAATGTTGGTAACCAATCAGTTGATGGTAGCCAATGACTTCCATAATATGAATCAATGGAAGTCAATGGCTGACGGACGGAACTCGCACCGGGCCCTGCATCAGCTTGGGACGGCCCTGACTATCCCTATAATTATGGAAATTATTGTTTATTTTTGTCCCATCTCCAGACGTTCAATCTTAAAATCAATCATACATATTAATTATTAATATAAATAAAAAACAAAAATATTAAGTAATAAAATATAATAATAATAATCATAAAATGTTTCAATATTTATTTTATGAGAGTGATCTATTTTTTACACAAATTGCAGATGCTCCAGTTTTGATGTCATTTCCACTACTTTTTGGCACTAAGAAAAAAATCAAAAGTTTATTTATTTAATGAGGAGATATAATCATGGTAAATATCACAATATTTGATATAATAGCTGAAATAACTTTATTTTAATGTTAAAAATCCCATATCCACATACTGACAGAATCTTGAGACCCATGTTCATAATCTTACTCTGAAGATGTCTGACATTACAGGTGCTTTACGGCAGATGTTTCATCTGTCCAAAGCGTTTGTTTGTTTGTTTATTTATTTAAGAAAAAATCATATTGAATTACATTTACATTTACATTTACATTTAGTCATTTAGCAGAGGCTTTTATCCAAAGCGACTTACAAATGAGGACAATAAACGCAGTCAAAACTAACAAAGAGCAACAATATATAAGTGCAAATGACAAGTCTCGGTTAGCCTAAAGAATTAGTAAGAAGTTGTAACAATTCCAAAAGACATGAATTTAGACATGAATTTAATTTCGTTGTGAAGTTAAAATCATTTGATTATCTCTTAATAACGTTACACTATGTGGACATATTCTTTCTCAAACGTCCTTGATCAATGATTTATATGTTGGAACATTTAAACTGACAACAAGACCATGTCTTTCCTTTAGTCACTGATCCTTTAGTCACTGAAATCACAAAATAAAGTTGAATTAGAAAAAAAAATAATGTACGTTTTAAACTCACAACCTAAAAGCAAAACACATTCCTGAGTTGCAAAACCATATTCATAAGGGCCTGAACCCATCTGGCCTACAGTTGCCCATGCTTGCAGCTATACTTAGGCTATACAAGAATTATATGACAATAAAGACAACCATAAGCCAAAGCCTGTTGTGGTAACTATGTAAATAGGTACACTCATTGTTTGATGGGTGATGGTGCGGTTATCATTATTACAGCCTGTTTAATCATCTTCTCGGCTGTTATTACATGAGGTGACTTGAGCCAGTAAATAATATAACTCACAAATGGAATCCCACTGTACCTGCCAGTAACTTTCCAAGAGCCTTGTATGTCAGCCTGAGATGAAAAACTGTTTTATCAAGCCTTCATCTGTGAACATGCCTCTGGCTTGGGCCTTAAAAATTGACAGGGGTCAAATGCAATAAGCTCAGATGAACTTTACAATATAAATGGTGATTCCCAGTGTACTTTTCTGAGTCAAAGAGCTTTTACAACACAATTAAGTATCTTTGCAAACACATACAGTATGTTACTATTCTAAAACTGTATCAGTTGTATAAATAAAATATACACATTTCCCCCCACGTTTAGCTCACACTATAAAATCTCATTTATGTTTTGGCTGAGCAACCCTGGTCTCATTTCTGATATTTTGTCTTGGTTTTCTAAAACTTTCTAAGATATCATTCTACAAGTGTTTTATAAATAAAAGACTAAATTTAGGTTTAAGTAGGAGTCTTCATTGTTATCAGTGTTATGTGCGTGATTAATTATGAACAGAGTGTAGCAGTCCAAAACACGTGGGAAACTTTAAGTTCCAGATTAAAAGTTGTAAATAGATCACCATCTGTGTCTCTGTAGAGCCATCACCTCTCAGATCTCTGTATGCTATATAAAGTCCTTTATAAATATCTGATCCATGAGCTGAGAGTATGGAAATGTGAGATTCCATGGTTAATTATAAATGATATCTCAATGTATTCATTATCAAACACCCCCATAGCATATCTATTGCAAATATTTTGAGATTTCATTGTGTGGGCTGGTTTTCTATACAGAGATAAAGCCTAGTGTTAGACCGGGAAGGTTTATAAAAGAATTCCTGCTGAAATTTCAGTCCAAAACCAGAGTTTATTTATATCCATAATGAGGTCAGAGAAACTCTTACAGCCATTGACATATGCTCGCAAGTAGCCTACAATAAGCAACGCTTCACTGTTGAAAAAATAAATAAATAAAAGAACAAATTTATGTTTTAATGAGTGCTAAGTGTCTTTTTTTCCAGAAATATTTAAATCTTATTTTCGCCAAAAAAGTCTCCTTGAATTAAATTGAATCACTCTGGCTCTGTGCATGAGTGTTTTATTTTACCATCTGTAATTTGCTTCAAACAAGATTATTTTATTGTGAATACACATGCAACAGTTAATCATTTCTATAAAAATGCGTGAACTATATTGCATTCCACTTCTAGCTAATTTTCTCGAATCTCCCTCTTATTCTCTCATCCTTGCTGCCTCTATGATTGGGTGATATTTTTATGAATCTAGGTCCTGAGGCCCTGGGGAAAACAGCACCAAATTCAGGCCATGTAACAAACCCGGGCAGAGCAAAAAAGGACTTCGACAATGATGTGTCATATCACAACTTTCCACAAACAGAAACAAAACACAGTTCATGACATAGTGAAACAGGACTAGCAGCTTGAGCAGCACAGGCTGTTTCATTCATCAAATCTGGATTTACATGTTAAGCTTTTTTTTTTTTTTCATTGGAAAAGGAATATCAAAGATAGGGTAAGTGTGTCTGCTTTTTATGCCTGCCAAAACTCGTTCTTTTTTAAAGAAATGCATTTTATTTAACTGTGGGCTTAGATAGTTTTCTCATTAATGCTGATTATAAGTGGCACAAAAGAGCACAAAAGAGATCTCTAAGAATGAACCTCGTGACACATCTAATTAGAAAACTGTCAATTTCTCAGATCAGCGGGTTGTTGCAAAACAGTGTAAGCTATTCAGACCTGCAGCACAATCTCACAGAGCATTTAATTACGATTGCTTAGCGAAAAACACAAGTATACCCTGCAGTTGCTGGAATATTTTTTTGCTATACATCAGTCAATCAGTTTTAAATGGAACTGTATGCTTCGGTTATGCTGATTGTCACTCTGACCAGCGGCTCAGCAGAGATAATCTACTTTCAATATGGAGCTACAAAATGCCATCTGTTAGAGGCTTCAGATGGACACACATTACACTGAAATTTACAATGGAACACAGTCCACACCAAGACAAACAGAAGGAGACAAAATGTCTAGAGCAAAATGGTTTATCATAAATCTTTATGATATTGGCAGTTTACAGTGTCAGTAGTGAAGTGCTTTTGCCTTGTTCTCCGTTCTCTTGCATTATGCTCAGATCTGTTTGTTAATGACATTTATCTGCATGCATTGCTCCTTTACTTTCAGCTGCTTTTCTTTTCTTTTGTCCTGTGCTCCACTCGACTCATCTCAGAAGCACTATGGTGACCTACTTGTAATTGTCAGGGAGATTAAACTCAGATATGGCATCTATGTGGCCCAAAATGCTGGTGTATGGAACATTGTAACTGTTTCATTGCATGGATGATTTGAGATCCCAAATTTATTTATTTATCTATAGTTAGGCTAGTTAATATTTTAGATCCAAAAAAGAGTAAAACTGTGTTTAGACATCAAATAGGCCTACGTAATGTCTATAATAGGCTACTATTTAGTCCTAGTCCTACTCTGAATTTAGCTGTTACTTTATGGAAGAGATTACTGACTTTCCCACGGTTGTTCAAGTCTCCCCCCCCCCGCCCCCCTTGTGCGCGCGCTTGCCTGACTCGCGAGCTCCGGAAAAAAGCAGCGGGTATGACGCTGAAGGAGGAGCGCGCATGTGGGGATAAGGTTTGTTGAGCTGGTTACATTCAAGGAGAAAGACATGTAGACTTCGGAGAAAGGAATGACGACGAATAGTCTAACAAGTCTGTGATTGTTTGGTCATGGTTTCTCACATCTTCTGTAAGTCGCAATGAATGAAGTTCAGGTAGGTTTAAACTCGTTTATCCGGCCTTGTTGTTTTCGAAAATGGAAAGATAAACTTCCTCACAGAAACTTCAACTAGTCAGGCTTCATTAGGATTGAAGTCGGTTACAGCAGTCAATGGGAAAATATCGACTGTCAAAAAGAAGGGGTTGTACTTGAGCACCTGCTACCTGTAAAAAATGCAAATTTAAAAAGTAATGTAGGACTATGCTACAATATAGACCTGTCAATTGGTTAACGGTAAGGCAAATATTACTGCAAGATGTACTTGTATAATAAAAAGCAGTATGCACAATTTAAGGACGAATATTTACACACAAAAAAAAGTTTATTTAAATGTATGAATGTCTTGCTAATTTATGAGTAATAGGGAATTATCAGTAATAAGGAATTATCAATAATTCCTTGCATGAACCATTAACCTACGTTTGTTTGGATTTTATTTAAATATATATTATTTATTACTTCTTATAAGTTTCTTATTGTTATACTACATAGTGTGTTTCTGTTATATTTCATATTATTTATCCAATGTTAATATTATTGTGGCATCATGTTTACCCTGGTGGTGTTTGTGTGGATAACAGTGTCCTCTGTCTTGTTATTAAAGGGCAAAATTGCTGGAGAGGCCTTGCATTGTCCATCTGTGCTGTCAGTACATTTCAAAATAACAAAATATTTTATTAGATAATTAATAATGGGATATTTTATAGTTTCTGGCATTTTTACAGTTAAATGTAACACACACACACACACACAATGAGGACGTACCATGCTCCTGGATATATGCTGCTTTTTTAGTTCCAGTTTTATCTGTTTTACTTACTGAGACCTTCAAATCTGTTCTTTTTACCTGTGATCATGATTAAAAGTGAAAACAAAAGTGAACGGGCACTGAGAAGTGCATCTCCACACAGGAATGCTTATAAATCAGACTTCCATTCCATCAAATGCTCATTTGATGGAAGTGTATCAATCAGCTCGACTTCACCCTTCTCCAACGGAGGCAGTGACTCCCGAGGCAGACCTTCGGGCAACAAAGTGAGCAAAATAAAAAATATATTCTTGCAAATGGATGAAAAGCAGAGTCAAGACAGTCCCAATATCAGCAAACCCACGTCACCCAAATTTTCACTGGATTCTACCCCTTACAGGTCCAGTCTGAGTAGTGTTACCAGTCTAGATTCAGCCTCCTTTGAGGCACGGAAAACAGAGGATGTTTCCATTGACAAGGCAGCACTGGCTGAGAAGTTCTCAATGACCAGGAAGCTGTTTGAGAGTGGCCTTAAAGAGCAGTCTCCAACAGAGAGATCTGGCTCTCCCAAAGTTATCTGGCCTCAGCTAGTGGAGAGACAAGACAGGAAAGCGTCAGTTACTGGAGAGAGAAATGACAAACCTAAAGAGCTAGAGAAACAGGCAAAAGAAAGGGAGGACAAGGAAAAGGGAAGAAGCGAAAGTGAGACACCACCACATAAGCTGAGTGTGTCAATGAATGCCGGGCCAATATCCAGACGTCTGGAGAGTTTTATGTTGGACAGTGATAGTGAGTCCCTGTCAGCTGCTCCTTCCACAGGATCTCATAGTCCCATTAGTCATTCCCAGTCACTTTCCGCTGCTAGCGACCATTCGGATCCCCCTTCATCACCAGACAGCTGTAGTTCCCCTACCTCTTATTCACTATGGGCTGATTCTCCTACTGAAACATGTTTGCCCAAGTTAAATGGTTCAGATTCACATGGTACCCCTTTGAATGGAGTCTGTACGAAGACATTACATAACACTTGTTCCACAGCTGAAGAACATATTAAGTCCTCAGAAGATACAGTCTCATCAGAACCCACTCTTGTGTATACAAGCGAAAAGATCCATCACTTGTCTGCAAGGAGTACCACTAGTCAAGCATCTGTAGCTGAGGATCCTGCACTTCAAGAGCAGCAAGGTGAAGGCAAGAATAGTGAGAAGGTTCCTGGTTTGTCCACGGTCAGAGCTGAGCTGGTGGTGGTGAAGACCGAATCATCTGAAAGCGAGGGCAATGAGGAGGAACATGTTGAGGATGATGTTTTTGAAGAGGCTGGCAAGGAGAACCAATCCCCAAATCGCAATTCTGAGAGGGTGTTGACCAGCAGCGAGGAGCTCCAATTAACATTCCTTGGGAAGGAATCAAAACAGAGAATTAGGGAACATGAGGAGGAATGGAGGGCGTGTGAGGAATCTGTACAGACTGGAAGAGAGGAAGACTATAGAGGGGAGGGAAAGTTTCTTGAGGAGAACATAATGGATAAGGAAGACGAGGAGGAGGAGAAAAAAGACAATGAGGAAGTAGAACTAAAGACAGACCAAACTGAAGAGGAGGCAGTACTGGAGACTGTTATGAGGGAGAGTGAGCAGAGAGCTAGCAATGTTGACGATAAGGAACAGCAGGATGAACAGAGAGAAGGAGAGGACGAGGACGAGGAAGAGGATGAGGGAGTAGAGGAAGCTGTTGAAGCTTTAGAGGAGGACGATGATGAACGAGAGATGGAAGATGTCTTAACAGGAAAAGAGAGGCAACAGCAAGATTATCAGGGATCAATTGGGAAGAGATCTTTAATTTGTGGAATTGAGAATGCTGCCTTTGTGGATGACAAGGACAACAGGACCGATTTGGAATGTCAAGTGAAGGAGGAATTCCAGGAATTTGAGGAACTTCCAGGACTCTCTGATGAGGAAGACCTCACTCCAAAGAGAAAGATCAAGTTCTCTACAGCACCAATCAAGGTATGTCTCACCCAATCTTACTTTGTTTAGAAGAAACTCTATATTTATATTTAGTACTTCAACGTATTTTTTATTCAGCTTCAGCATTTATTTGTTGGTCCCTCTGAAAGGGTTTAGAAGGTTTTCATTATAGTCTGAAGGAATTAGCCTGCCGGCAGTGACCCAAATCTGTGTTTGCACCTTTAGCAGATGACCGTGGCTCAATTCGGTCAGCACCTCAGTTCTTACTTTCACAAAGCATGTACTATGCAGCTATTATTCATGTTTATATGACAAGATCCTACTTGCTTTAAGGTATTTGGCACCCATGTCCTGTATTTATTTTGCCCCAAAACACAAACAAACTTTTCTTTTAGTGTGAGGAAAACATTATACTTGTCTGTGACTTGTTTCACTATTTTATTGATTCTTACGAATTGTGACTTCATCAGGGTTCCTGCTACAGTGTAAAATACCTTCTACCAAGAACATTTAAGATAACGCTCTCAACCAAGGTGCTGTCTGAGCTTGCATTACTTCAGGCATGTAATATCCCACGTCTCATGTTCTGACAGGTTTTTTTTTGCGTGTCATTTAGTTCCATATCTTAGGGCTTTACCTCTGGTCTCAGCTGATATGACTCTCACACTTTGAAATTTCATGTAACAGATAAACAAGATTTTCTGAAATAGAAAATTTGTCTGTGAAAACATTTTTTTTTATTACTTTTGGAGAGACATTTTTGTGTAAATCTTAAACACAAAGTAATATATATATATATATATATATATACACACACACACACACATGTATACATATATTTTGCTAATTTCTTGTGTTCTTCTAATCTATTTAATTAATTATTTATTTATTTGATTTATTAGTGTTTTCTCATGTGTATTTGTTACCATAAATCTGCCCCAAAAAACAAATAAATACAAAACAAACTGTGATTGGTCATTTTACTTGTCTTTGGCTGCAGGAGACTAATGCTAGTCAGTACAGATTTTCAAATTTTAGTCATACTGTATAACAGATCAAAGCAAAACACACAACTCTTTAATCTTACTTCATCTGTCAGAGACCAGGCACTGGGTTGCATCAAACAGAAAGTGCATTGTGCTGTCGTTCATGTGTGTCTGACTTTGGGACCTCTTGAACATGGAGTGTTTTAAAAGGATCCTGTTAAGGGAAGGAAAGGTGTTATGTCTTTGTCTGTGTGATTGGATATGAATATAAATCATCTCATCATCTGTCTGTACCAATTCAATGCTGTGGAAGCTCTTGCATTTGCATATTAATCAGAGTATAAATCTAATATACTAAACCATTGATCAAAGGAAATAAAGAAAGACATATCAAGTGTGTTACAGTAGGTGGCAAAAGTCCACTGTTTTGACTGCCCAAAATCAGTCAGTAACTAGAGGCTGATTGTGTGTAAGGGTGTTTCATTCCCTGTGGACCTTGCAGTTGTTCTCAGCACTCTTAAAAGATCTCTTAAGTTTGGAAACCAGGTCATGTATTTCTTCAGAGCCTGGCAGACTGAAGACGCCATGGATTTATAGTCTGGGTCAGAACACACACCAAATCAGAATATCATAGCTCAGTGTTTAATGTGTCACTCTCCCCAACATCCCTTCCTCCTTGGTGTGTCCTCCTCGAGCGTGTAGAGTAGGTCAGTGTCAGTTTGTTTGCTGTGTATTTATAGAAATGGGATGAGCGGGTGGTAACTAACATTTGTCTTACACTATGATGCATTTTCTCTCTAAATCAGGAAGCTTGGGTCTCCCTTTGTAAACATATTATAGTGTTCCTACATGTTTCGTTTCTACATTTTTGTTTACTCAGCCCTCAGGATGCGCCTGTTTCTGTATTTCTGCTCTTGTGTTTACTCATCCTGTTTTCCATATATAGGATCAGCAGGAAGTGAGTTGCCTGTCTCATATAGGCTAGGTTGTGAATAAGGATTTCCTTTCAACAGATGTTTGTGTTGGACATCTTTTGATCTTTGATGAGACAATGGGCTTTGAATATTAGCTCATTAAGTGTTTTTTCCCTTCTAGACAAAATATGGTGTCTTCAAATCCATCTTTAACCCAAAAATGCAGTTTTTTTTTACTCGCCCTTCAAAAAAGAAAATTCTGCCGTTTACTAACCCTCATGTCATTCCAAACCTGTATGATTTACTGTATTCTGTGGAACACAAAATATGATATTTTGAGAGCTCTTTTTGTCCATTCAGTAGAAGTCAATGGTCACCAGAACCGTTGGTTTCCATTAATTCCATTCAAAATTTTAAGTTTTAAATCCCATTAAATTACTAAAGGCCAGGATTTCGCTATTATTTTTGCTGACTTGTTCTTATTGCACACCAACTTGTTAACAACCAAGTTTGTTTTAATGCTGCCAAAGGACATTTCTTTATTGGAACAGTTTAGTATTTCATTATCTTAATATTTCTTGGTCATGGTGATGTTATGCAATTCTATTCAGGTTTGACGCTCGACCTGAACGCTATCTGTTGTTTTTTCCTTATTGTAAGTCATAGTTCAGTAACAGACTCTCTCAGTCCCAGGAATAAATAGTCCTGTGTTCTTGCTAAAAAGCCACGGCTTAAAAGAGTGAGAGAGGGAGGGAGCGAGATAGAAAGAGACACTGTGCTTGAGCATGTTTGGGAAGAAAAGGACATTGTTCAGAGGTGCACGCTTACTCCATGACAACTAGAGTCACTAGACAAAAGAAAGCGGAGAGAGAATAAATGAAGGGAAGGAAAAATAGGATTGTAGTGGAGAAAAAAGATGAAGGGGAAGTATGGATGGAGAAAGCAAAAGTAAAATGGTATAAGACAAATAAAGAGGAAATACTGTTACTTTGTCATGTCTAATTGATTTTGAGGCAGTGTTTTCCTTTTGTTTAATTCTACTGCTGTACTCAGTCCAAGTCTGGTGCCAGTATTAGGAATGCATACTATTGACTGACCTGCTTTTTAACTGCCTGTGTCGGCCTAAGTAAGCCAATGACAAAATGCTGTGGGCATGTAATTTAGCTAGCACCTTCATTAGGGTGCGTTCACTTTTAGCTTTGTATGGCGAAATTCTGCAGGTGAAATGCAGCATCTCAATAGGTATCTGCATCAGAAAACAATTAGGCCTAAGTTAAACTTTGAACATGCAAATTCACCATTTTTGCCAATATAAAACTGTGCTTCATGCATATTGACAATGGACTTTCTTTGCCTGTAAAATTTCACAAGTGCTTTTTAATATTGCAAATTAATTATTTTTGCACATTTGTAGCATTATGTGTGGAATGAAGAATTGTACCTAGATACTGGCGCTTTCAAGCTTGAAAAGGTTTGCAAAAAACATATCATAAAAGTAGTCTATATGACTGCTGTGCTGTTTTCCAAGTGTTCTTGCTTTATGTGTGGAACCAGCCAAAATTGAATTCATTATTTACAGAAAAATCTTGACATCTTTCCTAACTTTTCTTGGCATGTTGTTGAGAGAAATACCGGTGTCTGATTTGTGAACTAATCACTCTTGACTCAGATCTTTTCAATAAATTAGCTGGTTCACAAAACTGGTCTGAATGATTTGTTCACAGATTAGTCAGCCCCATTTGCAGGTGCAGCAGGCGCAATGATATTACGCAGCGCCTGAAAATAGGCTTATTGGAAGTTACCTAGCTGGGACTATTTTCAGGCGCTGCGTAATATCATTGCGCCTGCTGCACCCATGGTACGGCAGCAAAGTTCCTTGATTATTACGCCGGAATGAGAGTATAGTTCCTAGCCATATCGGCCTAGAAAATCGCAACTTTTCATTTTCCGTTGGTCTTAGTACACGATGTAACGACAAAGAGTCAAGTTTTAAATAGGAAAAATATCGAAACTCTTTGGTCATTTTTGAGCAAGATGCTAACGGTCTAATCAGATTCAATGATCTATGCTAAGCTACAGCTAAAAGTGCTACCGCCAGACCCGGAGATCGGCTGAATGGATTCGAAAACGGTAAAACTCAACTGTTTAACTCTAGGGGAGTTGGAAAATGAGCCTATTTTCAAAAATAGTGGAGTGTTCCTTTAAATACTGAGTAGGTATTAACATGTAAATGTGGGCAGTTATAAACAGGAAGATTGGAATGAGTCTGAATTACACTTTTTTTCAGAAATTATCTGGGTGGACTTCGTTTTATCAGAACATTATTTTACATCAACATTAATTGTGAAATCAATAAATCACAGATTCTGCTATGCAAGGTGATGGCCTTGTGTGGGTGTGCACAGGTGTGTTATTTAATGTATCTCCTCTTCTGCAGGTGTACTTTACCTTCTCTAATGAGGATTATGATCGCAGAAATGATGATGTGGACCCTGTGTCTGCATCTGCTGAGTACGAGCTGGAAAAGAGGGTGGAAAAGATGGATGTTTTACCTATAGATATTCAGAAAGGTTTCTTTTAAACTTTTATCACAAAATTTATTTCCCCTGGTATGAAATTCCTGAGAAAGTCAATTAACTGTAGAATTACTGTATTTGAGGTGCCTGTTTTGTTGTGTAGGAAACGATGGCCTGGGAATCAGTATAATTGGTATGGGAGTTGGGGCAGATCAAGGACTGGAGAAGCTGGGGATTTTTGTGAAGACCATCACCGAAGGAGGTGCAGCTCACCGGGATGGACGGTAAGAACTTGTCTTTTGACTTGGATTTATGCAATCCAGAATAAAACCTTCTTTGTGTGATAGCGAACAATGTGAGTAACAGATTATGGCTATTCAGCTTTCAAATAAAACAAGCATTGGTATTTTGTCTTAACAGAATTCGGGTAAATGATCAGATTGTGGAGGTAGATGGAATCAGTCTGGTTGGTGTCACTCAACTCTTTGCTGCTACAACATTGAAGAACACCAAAGGTCTGGTCAAGTGAGTATCGACACACCAAGCTGAACATAAAGTGACCTGTTTGCAGTTTTAGCTAAAGTTCACTAAGGTTGTGGGTTCAAGCCCCACCAGGAACAAGCTGTGAGCTCACACCATTGTGTCCTTGATCAAAGCAGCTCACTCCACGTTGCTCTAAAGGGATTTTCCCTGTATTATGTAATTTATGAACATGCATCACATACTAAGGAGGAAATGTCTGGTAATGATTCACCAGGGCAAATCTAATCTCATAGTCAGTATAATACCAGCAACGGTCATAGTCCTAGAACTGTGTGAAGGAATTATGTCCTCCAATGCAGGTTTCTCATTGGCCGGGAGAAACCAGGAGTGGAGAGCGAAGTGGCCCGTCTGATCAATGAGACTCTACAACACGAGACAAGCCCTGAAAACCAGGAGCCAAAAGATAAAGACCACCATAAACCCAAAAACCATCAGCTACAGGATGAAAAACAGATTTCTCAAATCCATGACCAATATCACGATCAACAGGAAATTGAACCACTGGCTGAAAAGAGTGTTGTGCAACAGGTATGTGAACATGTAAAGATAAGTTTGATGTCATGAGTAAATGAGTCATTAATCATTGTTGGGCCCATATTATGACTGATAAAGGATAAACAGAGAGAGACCGAAAAGAAGCAGGGGGCGGAGGATGCATCAAATGACTTGGCACAAGAAGTGTTTTCACAACTGAGAAGCCAAGGCGTTGATCTACCTGAAGATATCGATCCTACTGAGCTAGAACAAAAATTCAAAGTGGTATAATGTGAATTTCCACATACTGTAACTTATTCATCATTGTGAAATGCTTTCTTTCTCACTTTAATTCTCTTTTATAGCTGCAGATAAAACACAGTGTCACAGTAGCAGAACTCAATCAGTTGAGAGAGAAGGTAGGATGCTTATAAAAATGCTCATTTCTTATTTAGTATCTTGTCTTACCTGCTGAGTTATTTAACTTTTTGTGTGTTTGCAATTTTAAAGCTGCAAGTGAGCGAAGCCGAACGTAAGTCTTGGGAGACTCGAGGTGCAGCTCTTGAAAGGAATGTGGAAGAGAGCAAGGAGCGCATTGAAAAGTTGGAAAAATACTGGCTTGATGCTCAGGCCCTCTGCAAAGCCATCAACCAGCGTTTTAATGAAGCCCAGAGTCAACATGATTCCCTAAAGCTCAAATACAATAAGAGCATGATGCTTCTACAGGAGCATGAACAGAGGTGTGTTTGAGCATGTAATGTGTTGTCATAGCAGAATCTTTCTGGGAAGTTTGGTCAGGCGTTCTTGGAAATTTACTGATTTGTGAAAGCCTGTATCAAGGTGAATTATTAGAAATTATAATGCTCCATAGAGAAATACATGAGACAAGAGAATTGAGAAAAAGAAGATAAGTGAATTGTCATGTTTTGTTAATGGTGGGGCTGTTCTTGACTTGTAGAAAAGCTGAATATGCAAGGAAAGAGGCGGAGCTGACGAGAAAACTGGAGCAAAGGGAGAGAGAATACAAGAGCACTGTCAGGCAATTACAACATAAGGTAAAACTGCAGCCTGTTCATGTTAATCTCATTTCGAACGAAGTGAGATTACAATTATGAACATCTTTCTGGTCTTGTTAATATTTTGCGATGTGGCTTCACTGGGTGAATGATTGAATGTACTACAAATGTTTCAGTTACCTGTTCTGTAACTTCCAGAGTGGTCGGCACAAAAATTTGGTCAGATTTTCGCATGTGATTTGTCTTTTCAGACATTAGTTAACACTTTTAGAAAAGCAGAAATACACCAGTTACTACAGTACACAGAACTCTATGCAACTTTCCGTTTCTGACACCCACTTGTCACAGAATTTAAGTAAAAAAGTATTTATATGTTTTCAAACGGCATTTGATATTTTTGTAATCCCTCTGGTTTTTAGCCAACAACACCAAATATAAGAGTACAGAGGCAAGAGAGCTGATTTTGGATTCTTCCTCTGCTATTTACTGGTTCTATCCTAGTATTAGAGATTGTGTGGATTTAGTGTGTGCCGAGCTTTGGCATTTTTCAGACCTGGGACAGTCTTGTGCACTTACTTTCTGTTGTGTGAGACCGCAAGGGTGCGTATTGGGACAAGCTCACTTTTGCTTAACAAAATACAGCAGGAGCTCTGGTCTTATGACCAAAAGCATTGATGTTATTGGTTGGGCAGCTTTATTTGCAGATATTAGAACACCTCATTAGCAAAAATCAGCAGCTGCATATTTATCACACTGAATTTTCACTCTAAACATTCGTCTTGATGATTCATTTGTTGCGGCCTTTATGGTTAGGGTTTGTTGCTACTGTTAGTTGGTGTTGCACGTAATGATTAAGCTATTAAACAGATTAATTGAACATATATTAGTTATCCAATGCGAAATCGTAGCAGAAAAATATAGAGCCTTTTCTACCTTATGCTTATCCTAGTATGGCACTAGCAATGCCAAGGTTATGGGTTCAAATCCCAGGAAAAAAGCAAAAGCTGTAATCTGAAAAAAAAAAGTGTAACTTGAATGCAATGTATGTTGCTTTGGATAAAAGCATCTGCCAAATACATAACATTTAGTCATCATAGAAACAAAGATAACAGGATAGAGTCTTGTGACTCTATATGCACATAATACCTCTCTGCATTTCTCAGATAGCTTGTCTGGAGGGCCGTACTGGATCAGACCAACCAGAAGAGTCTTGCAGCCCTGCAGGAGAGAGTCAACCTAGCAGTCCAACCTCCGGTTCCTCTGAAAGAAATGGACTATCTACAGATGACCTTCACTCTGGTACAGAAGAGCTGGTCAAATATATAGTATAAAAGCTGGTCAAATATATAGTTTGATTTATAAAATATATAGTTTAGCTGTAATATGTTACCCTAGTTTGTTTGGCCAGATTGTAACACCTTTTATTAATAATTATTTTGTTCAGAAACAGTCTAATCTGTTAAAGTAGGTTCTTCTGGTTTTGAGATGTTGGTGTATGTCTGTTTGTCCTCAGATGCAGACTGGGGAGATGTTCCTCAGACGGCTCGCCTGGACTGCAGTGTATACAGAACCAAAGCCAAGCTGGCACAGGGATCTCAGCGCAAGCGGCCCTCCCGAAGTAAACTCCGAGAGTCCGCGAAAGGCTCACAGGCACCAAGCCAATCACAGGTGCGTTGAACCACAAACATTAAAAAAGTGTGATCTGTCCTGGTTTTTTTTTGCTTATGGTTTATTATACAAAACAAAAGTTTCCCAGTTTGACTACAAGCAGCTTCTTAAAAGGAGAATTTAGAGAATTTAATGCAGATTTTTACAAATACAGTACATTTTTCAGTTATGTACCATACATAATTATAGTAACAGGTTTGACATTTTAAGATTGTCAATTACTGACAAGCATAACGCATAGTTTATTATTTTACAGAGGGAAAATATGAAGAGGCCCAAACAAACTTTTGTTTCCATCAAAATGTGCAAAATCATATTACTCAGTTAAGTTGTTGGATTTTCATTGGTGTGTTGAGAAAAGCTTATATTAAAGTCTGCGTGAACCGGAAGTTGCTGCCGACAGGATTTCAGTATGATGACGTATTTCCAACTGAAACGGAATATTGAGTAGATGGCAGGGTTTTTATTTTTGCGCTCCTTCTCTCATCTCTCACTCGCAGCAAACTAACGGTTGGAGGGGTGTGGTTAAGCATATTCTGCCCAAGCCGTCAAACTGACATCATCAGAGAAGCCATGCCATTCCAGAGCGGAAGCAAATGATCAGATTTTGATTAAAGATTTGACCAAGACAAAAAAATTTTTTAGAGGATTAATTTAACATGGATTAATTATTGACCTTAAGACTAGCAATGTGCGCTAACAAAATAAATATTGTACATTTTGATTTCATGCGGACTTTAACACTTTGAAAATTGGATCAAGTTTTATATTTATATATTTTACTCTACTGCTCTTATGGGTGTTTTGTGATGTGTCGTCACTGTATGATTGAATGCTACACTAACGTAAGGTTCTGTAAGTGACGTTAGTTGTTCTGTAACTTCCAGGGTGTTCATTGTATTTACACACAGCCTCTGTTTAATGTATTGACCTTCATCCTGTATGTTTTTACTAACAATTTGGATTGAAGAAATCTTAGTTTAATTGTATCTCATTTTTAGGAATCTGTGTGCATACAAGACAACAAACAGGAAAGAACAAACAGTGAAAGAAGGCGGTCTTACCTCGAGAGCCTAGCCATACCTGTTCCATCCATACAGTTTGGTCACGACCAAACACGTGAACCAAGAAGTGAAGGCAGAGGTGATGTATTTATGCAGAGCCAAACACCCCACGGAAGCAGCAGCACACAAGCCAGCCTGTCTCCACCTAAAGACTCCTCCACTCCCCAGTCCCCATCCTCCTCACAGTCCTCCTCTAGTATGTTCCTCAACCTGAGAAACAGGAGGAGCAAAGGCAAGGAGCGCAGCAAGAGCAGAGCAAGCAGAGGTACAACTGATTTCTTAGAGTATTTTTTATTTATATCTTCTACTTCCACTGGTTATCTGCTTAGGCTCTTCAATATCAGCCTGAAGATTAAGAGGAAATGTAAAAGATATTGAATTGTTCTTTTGTTTTTCAGATGAAGAGAGTGATGGTTCACCAACACGAAAGACCAAAAGACGATTCCCAGATTTCAGGTATGGCTTGGCCAGCAACTTCCTCTTGTGTGCCAAAATTACAATAGGACATTACAATTGGAGGAGATGAACCACTTGAAGAAAAAAATTAATGGAACAAATCACAAAAATGCAGAAAGACCCACCTTTCAGTTAAAGGAATAGTTCACCCAGTTCTTTCACCATTTATTCACCCTCATGTCATTTCAAATTTGTATGGCTTTCTTTCTTCTGTAGAAGATATTTTAAAGAAAGTTTCAGCTGTTTTTGTCCATTATTATGAAAGTTAATTGGACCAAAACTTTCAGGCTCTCCAAAGGCTAGAAATAATTAAATCCATATGACTCGAATGGTAAATTCAGAGATCGTAAAGCATAAAGAATCAATGAGGTATCACATTAAGGCTAATTCACACTGCACCGACAGACGCTGACTAACATGGACAATCAGATTGCAGTACGTTACTTAGACATTCCACGACTGGACTAGAGTCAATTTAGCATGTTCAATCAGCAAAATCGAGATATTCAACATATGCCAACAGGGGTCTGATCAGACAAAACCTGACAAAAGTGTCTGTTGGCATTTGTCGGTCCGGTGAGAATTGGCCTTTAGTTGACATTTAAGCTTTGTGTTATCATATTTGATGCATTTTGATGCTTTGATCAAGGTTTTTTGATATGTTTATTATACAAAGTGACACTGTCATCTTTTGAGGAAACTTTGTATAGATTAATTTATCACTACTTTTATGTCCTTTTTGGAGCTTGAAAGCTTTGGACCCCATTGACTTTCAGAATATGAAAAAACAATGAAACTATTTTTCAAAATATGTTCTTATTGTTTTCCATATAATAAAGAAAGCCATCGTAGTTTGGAAGGACACAGGGAGAACTTAAATTATCACACTTTTTACTCCTGGGTGTTGTTTACTCTAAAACATGCAAGTGCATAATTTTATAATTAAGCATGATATAATGTAGAATATATTATAAAAATGTAGCCTTGACAGACAGATATCAGTCTTTCACCAATCAAGTAGATAAGGCCTGAAATTTAAACTGTTCTTCCGTTTTCTTTTGTGTTGCCCTGTAGTGGTATCCGCAGATCCGGAGGCAAAGGCAAAAAACGGGAGAGCATCACACTGACAGGATCTGTAGGGAGCAGGTGGGAATATTTGATCTCCTAATATTAACCTACTACATTAGCTGAAGTTAAATAGTTTCAAATCATTTCAAAATGTGCAGGTCTTCTCTGATATAGATCAGTTAGCAGGGATTCTTTGTCGTCCAAATTCAGGGGATCAGGAGAGTTACTGGATGAGTCCAGCGGCAATGTTTCCCCCTCTGGTTCCATCTCTTCCATCCCTTCCTGCATGCCATTTTCCTGGTTTGGGGACAGAGAGAAGGAAAAAGAGAGAGAGCGAGAAAAAGAGCGTTCTGCGTCCAGTGGCAGTCTGCCTCATACTCCTTCAGAGGCATACATAGAGGATCGTCCAAACAAGGTGAGTAGGGTCCAGATGTTTTATTTTCATAACTGTCTTGAATAAGAGAAAGAATTAATAAGTTATGTTGTCAGCGATTTAATGCATGAGTTTTTAAGTGATTAATGAATTAGGCTTAAGCCGTTTAAAATTAATTCAGTTTGCAAGGTTGCAGTTGGTTGCATTCCTGGATGTCATTTTAAGTTCATATTTAAGCAGTCTCATTGTGTTCAGTCTTTGATCCTAACAGGAAGTGAAGTTTTGTAATTAGACATATTCTGAAGGCTGTACTGTATTAAAAGTCTGAAACATACTGAATATCTGCTATTTAAAATCTCATTTTAAGATGGCAATAAACAAAAGTTTTAGGAATTTGTTAAAAAACGAATGAATAGGAAATGTTTAAGAGTCTACATTATTGTAGTACTCGTTTGTACAAAAGGTCAGATGTTCTTACTTCTTTTTGAACATTCGTGAATTTTGCTGAATGACATGATGATCATCACATTGGACCCTACTGTATGTCATTTTGCTTATGCAGAATGTGTGTTTATGAAATCTTCTTTAAAACAGACCAACTTCTCCTGGCCATCTCTTCTCTCTCACTCCTTAGATTTGGTACAGTATTCAGTTGGTACTCTAGCTAATGTATCTTTTGTGTGAGGACAGTAATACACTCGGTTTATAGCAGTTGCTACTAACCTTAGTGGACTAGTTTTTGGTGTGGCTTTGTTGAAAGATGAAATGCTCCACTGTAGTAAATGCATTCTTTCACAATATACCCTTTGGCCCACATTGATAAAGCCCAATCTTGTTTCATAATGGAGCATTGCCATGAACTGTGTTAATTTAGTGACTAGACATAGTTTTGTGTCTGAGAACATACCCTATAGGGAATGATAGTTTTGATGGTTTTAATACTTTAATAACTTGATTTAATTCAGGTTTAGACATTCACTAACACATGATAGGGATGCATGATAGTAGTTGTAGTGTGTGATAACGCTCCATTGCCAGCTCTTACAAGTAATACAATGTAGTTTTGTGTTTCTACTGGTTTTGGTTTCTGGAATTGTTCTTCACTGGTACAGTTTTCCAGACTCTGAAGGTAATATCACCACTTGTCACCACTCCATTCACCACATTTAGTTCAAACAAGCATCCAAGAGGAAAAAAAAGAATCAATTGAAGTGCCGAATACAGTGAATAAATGTGTTTAGGGTAATTTAGAATGACCTTTCTTTCTCTCTCTACCAGTGTTTATTTTTGTTCTGATATTAATTTTTAAAATACCGCAATACCGGTAGGTCGCTTAAACAACGTTCGGAACGCGACACTGTTTGAAAGGGGTCCCCTTTTCACTGTTGATCAAAAATCAAATCTATTCATTTATTATAATTTATGATATGACATTTGTCAACTTTTTTTTATTAAGATGTGTACACTCACATGTATTCAAGGTACAAGGTTTTTTTTTTTTTTTGCTTTTTACAACATTGATATCATTTAAATTTGCATACATACATTTCTGTGATCTTTGCACATAAACTGTTTTTTTTTTTTTAAGTTTTCATTATCTTGTTTGTCAGTGACCCAATTACACTGAAACTCTGTCTTGTTTAAAAGTTTTTTTTTTAGCGTGAACGTTGAGGAACTGGTTAGATATTTGCATTGATATTACACATTTAGTGACCCTTAAGCCATTAGCATTATCTGCTTTAAAAGTGCATGCTTATTAGCATCCCATCCTGTAAATACTGTATATGTGTAAACTGTTTGTGAGTAATTGTTTATGTGTCTGTTTGTGTATGTTTACACGTGTATGTCCCTGTGTCCTACTTATTACAGAGCTTGTCTGTTACGGATGATTCGATCGCAGGTAGTCCTCGCTCTGTGTTGGCGGGGTTACTCAAAGAACCCCGTCTCCTCGGGCGCTCGCACACACATACCTTCTCCTCCTGCGAGGTGAGAGTCCGTGGGGTCACCACTGCATGAGCTTTTCCTGTAGTTAATGGTTAGCAATCGTCATACGTGTATATTTGATCAGCCCTGAACTTGAACTTTTAGTTTGTGAGGTGTTTTAAAGAGGAGAGCAAGTATCGTGGAATGTGTGCGTCATGAGGGAGGAATGGAAAGAATGAGATTATACTCATAGCTTTGAGAAACAGAGGTGATAGTTCACCATGCATGTCATTGTGTTTCACTATTATAGCATGGCTCAGGCCTGCAGTATACAGGTGCAGTCACATTAGTAAAGTTTCAGCGAGTCACTTTCAAACCAAACAGCTTTCTGTTGGTCAATGTGCAGAAAATGTGTGAACTTTTCTCATGGATTTCTATTGAAATGACTGGATTTCACTTGTGAAATTTCAGCAGGCAACAGTAAATGTGACTTTTAGGCTCTTCCATCTGTGTATAGTGAGGCACAGGATAGCAGGTTTCTCCCCTCTTAATACATCCAGGCTGTTCACTCTGTGCTTCCTGCCTATGGTTAGGATCTTTCCGCAGTAAATTATGTTATCCATGTGGAGTATATGGGTGTGGTTGTGAGTGAAGCAGCTCTCCAGTGTCATTTTTATGTGTACGGTATGTGGAATTTCCAAAATGATTGCAACAGTCTTTCTACGCCCTGTTGGTAAGATGTTGCCACAGGTAACATTATTTTACAAGTTGTGTTGGGTGTGTCAGTGGCTCAGTATTAAAGGAATAATTTATAATAAAAAAAATAAAAAAACCTGTATGACAATTCTGTACATTCTTCAGGGGAACCCAAAAGGAAGCGTTCTGAAAAATGGTCGCACTGCTCTTTTCTATAAAATGGAAGCATTTTATGAAATGAACTCCAAAATGGTCAAAAAAGCACAATGAAAGTCTCATAAAAGTAGTTTATGAACAGGGGTGTAAAATACTTGAGTAATTTTGCTTGATTACTGTACTTGAGTATTATTTTGGGGGATTTGTACTTTATTCAAGTACAGTTTAAACTGACTACTTGTACTTTTACTTGATTACATTTCTGAAGAAAAAACTGTACTTTTTACTCCTTACCATTTTATTTCATCTTGAAAAGTACATTACATTTTTATTTTATCTGATGCACATTTAATATGGTAAACGGAAGCTCAAACATGCGTGCTTGACGTGAGAACCAATGATCATTGTTTTCACGAATCAAGCATACACATTTCGACTGCAGTTATGACTTTCATCAGGTAATGTTTGGCTTCAAAATTTCACCATCAAATCTGAGGAAGCATATTGAGGTAGCAAAGTTGTTTTCCCAAAAAAAGGTTTATTCGTTATTCTTTCTGTTTTGATAGAGCTGTTAGCTGTGTAATACATTGGCTGAATGCACAAGATTGAGTGCAAATAAAATCAGTGATGAAAATTTAAATACAAGTAATATTTTGTGGGAGTGATTTTTTATTTTTTTTTTATGTTACAAATCTCCAAAAAAGTGTTTAAATGACCATTGTATGTTAAATTAATTGTAATTCATGTTTAGTGATGTTCTTACCAGGTAGTGGATAAATTGTATTTATAATATGTAATTATATGACACATTGAGTAGCAATTAGGACTGCCAATGAATATTTTTTCATCTTAATAATTACATGATTTGCTCATTAATAATCTAATTAGTCGCAAATAATTACTTATCAATATTTGCTGAGAAAAAACTCTAAATGCCCCAAATAAACAATTAAAAGTTTAATTATCCTTTTAGACAGTGACATTGAATAGACAACACAAAAAAGTGGCCTTTCAAAACATGAATGTTGTATGTTTTAATTCCATGACATTAATTCAACACATTCTTGTATTCTGTCTGGAAAATGTTTCTAGCCTCTGCATCACATCTTGCTCTTCAAAGGGATAGTTCACCTAAAAATGAAAATTCTCTCATCATTTACTCACTCTCATCCCAGATATTTCTTTCATCAGATGAACACAAGCAAATATTTTTAGTCCGTATAATGCAAGGGGACAGGACCGCTTCATAAACCACACAATGTGTAATAAGACGGTCAAGTTTAAAATATTAGTATTTGTATTTTTTTTCTTACACATGTCTATAGTGTTGCTTAAGAAGACACTGATTCATCAACAGGGGTTGTATGAGTTACTGTCATATTCACTTTGTGTAGTTTTTGAAGTGTCATTTTTGGACGTCCCATACACTTGCATTATACGAAGAGAGATGTTTTTTTCTCTAAAACTCTTCGTTTGTGTTCATCAGATATATGAAAGTCATATATATATATATATATGGGATGGCATGAGGTTGGAAAGGATGGAGTTTCCTTTTAATCCCATTCCCTGTATTTTTTTGTTTTTTTGTTTTGTGTGTTCCGCTGTGCTGCATTTTAATTGTTTTTGTTGCACTAGATATATGTGTTTGACCTGTGCCATTGCATTTTGTTTTGTTTTCTCCCTTTAATCAAACTTCTGTATGTCTGTCAGAAAAAAAAAGTACTTCTACTTTTTTAATACTTGAGTACAATTTAAAGTTGTACTTTTTTTACTTTTACTCAAGTATGTTTTTGGCCAGATACTTGTACTTTGATTTTTGAGTACTTTTTACACCTCTGTTTATGACTCACACACTATATTACAAGCCTTCTGAAGCCATGCAATACTGTAGTTTTATGTGAGAAACAACATGTCTCACCTTCCAGAAATAGTGGCTGGTAAATACCCAATTTGATCACCTCTTAAGATTTTTAATATATATAATTCAAATGTTTAAAACCCACTATATATGAAATTACATTAGTGTGCAAAGTAAATATCAACAAAACATGTTCTTTTTTGTTTTGTAAAAATTAATGAATAAAAAGTTATTGACAAATTGATTGATTTTCTATTATAAGTCAACTTGGCGAAAAAGGATCTGCTAAATGCATAAATCTTAAAGGGATAGTTCAGACAAAAATGAAAATTCTGTCATAAATTACTCACCTTCATGTCGTTCCAAACCCATAAGACCTTTGTTCATCTTCAGAACACAAATTAAGATATTTTTGCTGAAATCCGAGAGCTCTCTGGCCCTGCATCTAGACAGCAAAGCAACTGCCACGCTCAAGGCCCAGAAAGGTAGTAAGGACATCGTTAAAATAGTCCATGTGACATCAGTGGTTCAACCGAAGCAAAAAAAAGACTTTATACAACAACTTTGTCTCTTCTGTCAGTCTTTGCCGTCATTCACAAGAGTACCATGATGCATGCGTGTGGTGCTGCTGATGCAGAAGCCGGCTTTCTGACATAGAAAAAACATGCGCTGTGCCTTGTTTTTACAAGCAGAGGAACGAGCAAAGGAATTTTCTGAACTGAGCTGGACGATGATATCACTGAATCAATGATGAACTTGTAACGATCGGCTAGTGCTGGGCGGTATACCGGTTCATACCGAATACCAGTGTTTATTTTTGTTCTGATATTAATTTTTAAAATACCCGGCCTTATCGGTCGAATTACATGGTGTAACAAAGTTCGTAGTTCGGGAAGGAGGCGGGAACCGGCAAACATTTAAAGAAAACTTTAATAAAATAAACAAACACAAAATAGGAGTGAGATACTGGAATGGTAAGTCCATAAAACAACTTCACAATCCAGATAGTGCAGTGTTCGGGCAATGGCCCTGTCCCAAATGGCACCCTAAACCTTCGCGGTCTTCCTCTGAGTCCGCACTTTCGTGACGTAATGCCGCTTTGACTGTCGGGTAGAAGTCTGCTGCGGAGCTCGCCCCAGTGCGGGCTCAGCAGAAGTGCGGATCGAGGGCGCATAACGGCCGCAAAGGGGGTGCTTGCGAGCACCCTTCTGAACGCTAAAATAACGATTGGGACACCCTACGGTCTCGTGGACTTAATGGACACGCGCACGCGTCGCCCATTGTAAGTCCGTAAGACTGCAAGTGCACATGAAGTGTTCCATTTGGGACAGGGCCAATGACCCTGATTGTCGTCTTCTTCATTGGAGTTTTACAGCAGTTGGCTTCCAATGAGCCGCTTTGTGATATCACAAAGCCCGGAAAACAAACGCTGTAGTCCAAACGAGCCGTTCGTTGTAGTTCTTGAAAAGGGATTTAAAAAAAAAAACGAAATATTTCCCTTTGGAGTGACTACAATTTAAAAAGTGAAAAAGCATAATAGGACCCCTTTAATTAAATTCGTCCTTCCAGTCTGACCCTCATTGTTTGACATGCTGCTTGCTTTATACTGGTTTACTTCCTTATCCCTGTCATGTGATTGATCACATGACAGGCAGACCCATGAACATTTTAAAGACATACACACATTAAATAATTAAGAGGATTAAAATGGCTAAGACAACATGTAAAACCATTAAAACTCAAATATATAGATATAAAACCATCTTAATATATATTGAGCGGTAAAAACATGTGTCTTTGTGTGACAGTGTCACAAACTGACTTTAACTAAAATAGAGTGTTTACTGTTGTCCTTTTGTATTACGCTATTTTTCCTGTTTAATTCTGTAAAGCTGCTTTGAATCTGTATTGTTAAAAGCACTATGTAAATAAAGGTGACTTGGCTTGAATGCACACGCATGCGTCGTAGTACTCTCGTGAACGCTCGGCGAAGACTGACAGGGAAGAGAATAAATTGTTGAATAAAGTCATTATTTTTGTTTTCTTTGCGCACAAACCGTATTCTCGTAGCTTCATAACATTGACCCACTGATGTCGCATGGACTATTTTAACGATGTCCTTACTGCCTTTCTGGGCCTTGAATGTGTCAGTTGCATTGCTGTCTATGGAGGGTCAGGAAGCTCTCGGATTTCATCAAAAATATCTTTGTTTGTGTTCCGAAGATGAATGAAGGTCTTACGGGTTTGTAACAACATCAGGGTGAGTAATTAATGACAGAATTTTCATTTTTGAGTGAACTATCCCTTTGATGTACTGATAATTTTAGAAGATTATGATTGATCAGTGGTGCTTTTTTGAGCTTTGCAGCCCCTGGTCACTACATTTTATTGAAAAGAGCTGCAACAAAATATTTCAGAACATCAGTCTGTCTTGGTTCTTGATGTCTTCCACAGCTTCTGACCTGATTTCATAAGTGTGCTCTAGATTCTGTCTGCCCTGGTAGGAGTCTGTTGATCTGTAAACAGACACTTTTAATTCAGGCACACGAAATTAACAGAAAGTTTGCTTGAAATATGCCAAAAATATATAGGTTAGCATTCGTTTTTTGCATGGCAGAATGGTGTATTGCAGTCTTCCACACCTTATGACTCTTCTCATGTTTCCAGTTCAAACATAAATACAGTATATAATTCTTTTATTTTCAGACTCTTGATGATGGCCCTCTTCCAGCGGTGAAGCAATACCTGTGGCAGAACCGCCCCCTTTCCGAGTGGACCAATCAGCAGGTCTGTCACTGGTTGATGGGCATGAATATGGAACAGTATATAGCTGAGTTTACAGCGAAAGGTGTGGATGGCCAACATCTCTTGTGCATGGACAACAGTACACTTAAGGTTGGTCCTTGTGTATTTTGATTATTTTCTGATTGCAGTATAAATTTAAATAATATTCCACTGAAATATGTGTTGTCTTCCAGGAGCTTGGCGTTTCTAGTCAAAGAGACCGCTCCACCATTAAGAGGAGACTAAAAGACATGAAGAAGGCTCAGGAAAAACTCGAAAAGCAGCAAGTAAAAAAAGAAAAAGAAAGGGGGAGAGAAAAAGAGGCCAAGAATAAAAGCAGCCAACCAACAAACCTTGAATCAGCCTGCTGAGGTACTAACAAAATCAAGGGCCGCAAACGTGCACGCTCACCGTCCCAAGTAATGATAATTTGTTCTGATAGAAATGGAGTAGACTGTCTCACACACAGATGATTTGTAGACCGTTGAGAACGTAACAGCATGGGTGATCACAGAGGTTTTCTGCCAGTAAAGCCTGACGGAACATATATTTTTACTGTAACTGTGTCTTTGATAAGCTTGTTATTAATGTCTCTTTTTGACACAACCCAGGAGTTAAAGAATCGATTCCTGTCTGTCACACTGACATTCAACATGCATAATGGCACTTTGAGAACATGGGAACTTAATCTAACTGTCCAGAAAGGATATCCATTGCCTTTAACTGATTTGCTTGAGTGTTGTGAGTGTTGAATGTTTTGGGATGCTGTACATGGTACTAAAAACGATTTTACGGCTGTTCACCAGAGGGCGCCGATGTGAAATATCTAGCAGTCAGTAAAAATGTTGAGATCGTCGATCTTTTTTTTTAGAATTAACGCCAAATTATCATGAGCCAAGCTGCTAGTGCACACTCTGCACTTTAGCTAAAAGTTAACTAACAATCCACTTGTGAATCTCTCAAAGTGATGCACACACATTCCCAGGGTTAATAGAGCACACCAGGTAAGCTTCGGCTCCCTTTTCTAGTGTGCACTTTTAAGTGAGCACTTCACCACCCTAAACAGACTACTTTTCTTTTTTTTTGGAAAGAATCATCAGGTTTTTTTTTGTTTTTTTTTTATGTCTACTGTACATAACTCTTAGTGATGTACATTTTACTGCAGAGAGGAGAGCAATTCATTGTCTTCTGTCACAAATGATGATGATTTTACATGTGTATTAATAAATAAATATTTTACAACTACATATTTTTATTTATTTTTATGTCTTTTTTAATGAATTTCTGTTTAATTTTAGGACATTTGTTTGTACCTCATGACACATGTAGCTTCAAAGATATTTCATGAACTGTCAATTAAATGATCTTTCAAATTACACCTGACAAATTGATTTTGCATTCATTCTGATGATGCACCCAACATATTGCATCACTGTCATCTTAGCGATCTATCTACATTTTATGTGTGATTTCATATTGACGTGTGAAAATGCTTTATTGGATTAATAGCCTTAATATTATTTGATACATTATCTTATGCAGGTTAGTACAGGCAATACTGATATAGGATCCCAGTAACCCTTCAGTTTATAAATAAGCCATGTTTTCGACCCACAAACTTTGAAGAAGGCATGTTTGTAGCTAAATTAATTTGGCAAAGTATGCTAAAATGTTTTAAATGTAATAACAAAGACTAAATTATTTCACTATTAATTACAATTACGTGCATTACATGTGAATTAATTACACAATTAATTGCATGTCAAATTTTTAAGTAGAAAGACTGAAATAGTATTTTCTTGTAAAACGCACTCCAATAATCTATTCACAACTTACATTTTTTTAGTGTATACACACACACACACACACATATATACATACATACATGTATATATATGACCCTGGACCACAAAACCGGTCATAAGGGTCAATATTTGGAAATTGAGATTTATACATCTGAAAGCTGAAAAAATAGGCTTTCTATTGATGTATGCTTTATTAGGATAGGACAACATTTAGCCGAGATACAACTATTTGAATATCTGGAATCTAAGGGTGCAAAAAAATCTAAATACTGAGGAAAATCGCCTTTAAATCTGTCCAACTGAAGTTCTTAGCAATGCATATTACTGATCAAAAATTACGCTTTCATATATTTAAGGTAGGAAATTAAAAAAAACTAATCTTTATGGAACATGATCTTCAATTGACATCCTAATGTATTTTTGGCTATTGCTACAAATATACCCGTGCTTATGACTGGTTCTGTGGTCCAGGGTCACATATGCTGTGTATATATATATATATATATATATATATACATACACACACACAGACACACACACACACATGTGTGTTTGTGTGTGTGTGTGTGTAATGGTATTCCCTATGTTAGGGGGATCACATGTCCCCACAAGTATAGTAATACCAGTAAATTTTGACCTCGTGGGGACATTTTTTGGTCCCCATGAGGAAACAAGCTTATAAATCATACAGAATGAAGTGTTTTGAAATATGAAAATGCCTGTAGTTTTGTGTGAGGTGTAAGTTTAGCATTAGGGTAAAGGGATAGAAAATACAGTTTGTACAGTAGAAAAATGATTACTTCTATGGAATGCCACCATTATGATAGGAAAACCTTTCTCTCTCTCTCTCTGTGTGTGCGCGCGTGTGTGTGTAATAGCCTTTAGTCCATATACATACGTACACTATAGCATATTGCTTGTCTCTTATACGTTTATACACTAATAGGCACAAAACTCAACATTTTATTTAATAGAGTCACTATTTTATGAAAAAAAAAACATAAAAAAGTTGAGTTTCTGTTAAAAGCAGACCATGTTTCACTAGCTTGCGCTTGTGGTATTGGTGACTTGGTAAGACAAGAGACTGGAGGGCATTCACTAAGTCTGGATGAATGCCTCAGTATGAGTATTGACCTGCGTCACCTGCATCAGTTTCTGTGCCTGTCTAGCACACAAGTCTGTGCCTGTTTATCAACACTACACCTGTGCCAGTCATGCCAATCACTAATCCTGCGCTCATGTCTCCAGCCTAAGTATTAGAGCCACTGTCTGCTGTGGAGCTCTATCTTGAGCTGTCTGTATACAGTCTGTTCAGGTATCTATTATATCAGACCCATTATGTGTCTCTATATTCCATCAATTAGTCTGATTACGTTGTCGACCTCTATACATGTCTTTTGTTTCTGTCCGCAGCACCATCTCATAGCTGTCTGTCTTTAAAGGTATATTCAAAGATTATCCAGATTTACAGCTGACAAAACCACCAAAACAATGTATTTAAAAAAATTACACCTCTTATATCAATTAAGGTCCAGCAAAACTTTTATTTGGAAAATGAATACCAAATATCTAATAATCAGTTTCATTACTTCAGTGTCAATTTTGTGTGAGCTAATACATTTGTTAAGTGGCTAAAATTCAGACATCACCACTGTCTACTTAACAAATTAATACAGAATTAATACTTTTCATTATTTGAGCATTCGCATTGCCAAAAGGTGCTGTTTTAGAGAAATAAAAATAAAAGCAACTTCACATTTATACACAGATATTTTCAAATGAACTAAAAGAAACCTTTAGAATCTGGTCTTACAATGGATTGTGACAGTCAACCGATAATATATCAAACTGTTTATAACAAAGTAGTTCTTACTGAAATCAGTCCCAGTTGTAGTAGTTTAAGTACAGTGAAAAAAAACACCTATGAAAATAAAATATGTACCTGACTGGTTTTAACAATTAAGCAACAAATAGAAAAAAAATCCAAAGACACAAATATTTCCATTCATCCATGTTGTTTTAGCTGGATATCAAGATAAGAAAAAATATGAACCAAGCAGACCTGACTCACACAAGCCATTCATAAAACAAAAAAATTAAAAATCTTTGGCCTTTGTACAACAGAAACCTCTGCTGAGAATAAATACATTAAATGTATATACATTACTGTATGAATGAGAAGTGAACTGTGATATGAAAATGGGGGTGGCACATGGAAGCAAATTGTAATATAAAACAAAACTCAAGTAAACTTTTTTTTTTTATCCTTGTTCATCATTCGTCTTCCAGACACCATTTTGTAATACAATCTCTATCAAGCTCAAATGTTTCCTTTCATGTTTTGATGGAATAGTAACAGTAAGAAAAGTTCAGTGTGTGCAAAAGTAAGCATTAAAGGCCTTAGGAAGGGAGTCTTTGGTTTGATTTCAATCAGATTAGCATTTAGCTATGAGTAGCTCTCATTTTCATTCCAAGAAGTCATCCATTGTTTCTTCTCCGGAGGATCCATTTCCTCTTTCCCCGGCTCTTTTCCCCTCTCTTCCCTCTTTATCCGCACAGCATTATAACTGGGGACGCTGTCATCATACTTGGAACGTTTGAAAAATCCACACTGTTTAAAAAAAAGGACAATTAGCGCAAGATAATGCTAACAATGCTAAACAGCATCTTTATACAGGAAAATGTGCAAAAAACAAATACGCAGTGATGTTTGCAGTGTGTGCAGCATGCCTAGCATGAGGAAAGAACGAACCATTCAATGTTTTAAAGAAGATATAAGCAAGAATCTGGCTGTAGAAAGAACCGTATGCGCTGAAAGCGAGAGAGATCCCAAGCAGGCCAGAGAAATGCGCAAGTTCCCAAATCAAGCCACATCTAAAGGCTTAAAAGAGCTTTAGAGATTCAGACATTCAGTCATACCCAGTCACAAGAGTCAATGCAAACATGTATAAACCCTTTCCCAACAACTTCACGCATGATTAGTTTGCATTCCTCATAGCATTTTGCTTATGTCTGAGCAATGAAAGCCATGGAAACTTCCACCGTTACCCCACATCTAGACACTGACAGGCAGCACGTGCTTCAGGCTAAAGTGGGTTAGCATGGGCTAACTCTTCATGCTAGCTCTGAGCACGCAGGTCAACTTGATCTGTGCATGAGATCTTTTACCCTAAGAGAGAGGTTCTCGTTCTCTGTTTCTCTGTTTACGCATCTGAAGTCAGCCTCTCTTTTTCAGGTTCTTTGCCGCTTTTGTTGAAAAAACCACACTAAAAGGGGTAAAGGTTTGTGTTTTAAGTACTTGATGCCATGTGAATAGTACAAAATGTTGGAAATCTGTTTTACAAATTGTCAGTGTTCAATAAAAGTGACAGTAAAAACAGGGTTAGGTAGTCCTAAATGGCTCTGTTTGTGAGTTCAGTCATATCATCTTACCTTCCAAAGCAAGAAGACCAAAAGGCCCAGCAAAAGGAGTCCGAGTAAAATGGCCACCAGTATGACCCACCAGGGCATACCGCCGTACTGCGCAACTTTGCGCTCCGGAAACACGGTAATGCGTACCTGTAACAGTACAAATTGTCTTTCAAAATGCATTTATCACCTCAAGATGAGTTTTCAGACCTGCATATGAAGTCAGTTTGATAGAGAAGACAAATTGATCAAAATATGGAAGGAGAAGTATGTATGGACAAAAATGTCCTCACCAGTGCTGGTTCATTTTTCAGCTGTATATTTGTAGCTGAGGTCTTGAAATCAAGTGATGCCTTGACAATAATATCAATGTAGTTCAATTTTGCATAGTTCTGTAAGAAATAGTTCATTGATAGTTTAATGACATATAGTGTCCATGATAAAGAAAAGGAAAAAAATAAATATTTTAACACCTCTGCCAAATTATTAGAAATATTCTATCTGTATTGATGTTGGTTTCATATGTTGTCATGTACAAGAAAAATGTAATGCCTCATATGATGTAACCATCAAAAAAAATAATATGAAGAAAAAAATTCCTCTTGAACACATCTCATATGATGATTAAAAGGTTTTTAAATATAGTTTGCAAAGTAAAAAGTATTTTTTATGGATTTCATGAACTATTAATCCTACCACATGACATTTTTACTTTTTGTTTTTCTTATATTAATAAGCAGTGAAGCAGTTTTGTTAAAACAGTTTTTTAAGAAGTAATAATAATGTATTTTTACATTATTAAAGATTATGCCATTAAAAAAAAAAAAAAAGACCTGCCACACTC